ACTCCAGAGATATCTGAACTCCTGGATAGCCTTCAATAAGACAATAGGTAAACCAGCCCCCATTCTCCTAGAGCCTCAATATAAGGGGCCTTCTCTGTACTATGGGATGCATGTGTTCTCTGTGAGGGTGATGTATTCTGATTTCCCCATCCTTTTAAACCACTGCATAAAGACAGGAGGGTTTGGCAATCTATGAACTGTCTGGGCCACAATGAGGAAGTACCCTGAGCCTCAGGTAACTGGGGTTAGGCAGGAGTTGAGCCCTCTTCTGCCCACCTGCCTGCCAACCTGCTTATTATGCAGAGCTCCCTTGTGGCCTCACAAACAAGGAGTCCCTGTAACACCCCCTCCTCATATCAACATGTACAAGTTAGAATGTGAGGCCACAAACCCGAGGCCCATCCTCCTGCCAGTCAGAGGACTGAGGCCTTCGGCTGAGAGCAGATTTGCAGCAGGTCTGGTGTCAATGAGGACTTTGATCAGAGACAGAACAGCAGAAAGAAACAGCCCTATTCCCTCTGCCTCCATTAAGGGGAATAAGGCTGGATCACATGGCTGACTGTTTCTGCTTTTTCTTCTCTAGTGTCCCCAGTAGTGACTATTACCTGTGGTGAGGCCTTGGAGGACACCATCAACGCCACATGTTGGGCTTTTGGTTTCTATCCCTGGATTATCTCTCTGACTTCGCTTCAGGATGGGGAACCACTGAGCCAGGACACACAGCAGTCTGGGAGTCTCTTGCCATATGGGAATGGGACCTACCAGACCTGCGTGTCCACCAGGATTCCTCAAGGACAGGAGCAGAGGTTTACCTGCCATGTGCGACATAGTGGGGAAGAGAGCACTGGCACTGTGCCCTGTGGTGAGCCTGGGTGTCCCAGCAGGGGTTCCCAACTGGGTAGGTCAGTGACCCGGGTGGTGAAAGGGAGGAAGTCTAGAGGTTCTGGAACCCAGATGGTAGTATGTGTGTTTTCAGGTTCGACCCTGCTGCTTCAAAGCCAATGGCGAGCCTCTCTAGGTGTGGTTGCTGCTGTTGATGCTGTTCTTCTTCTTCTTCTCCTTTATGTGCTTTGGAGCAACAGGAGGGAGACAATTTCAGCTGCAGAGGGTTCAGGTAAGAAAAGTGGGCAGTGGATGGAGATGGCAGGGTCATTCTGGGTTAAAGGGTCCCTCATGCCTCATGCTGCACAGAGTGCAGTGGAGGTGACCAGACTTCTGGAACAGGCGGACAAAGTATAAAAGGATCTGTGATTTGTGTTCTTTAGAAACTCTAGAGGAATCCCACAAAGGCTATTGCCTCTGGTTTCTTCCTGTCTGCCTGCCTCTTTCCTGTCTCTCCACTTGTCATGTGCAAACCAATAAGAAGAACCATGAGGCCTGTGGCACCGGTGCCCTGCCTCTGCTTCCCCCGGGAGGCCCATGTAGAGCAGGCCCAGGGGTCTTCAGCACATGTAGTCATCTTCTATCTTATCAGCATCTCCAGTCACTCTTCAGGGGTGTCTCCTGTGTGTGTCCACTGGGTCACTAGGGCATGTACTCCATCCCAGGCCCCACCACAATGGTCGTCCATCAGGAGTGGCTTCCCAGATGTTATGGAAAAATGAAAAAGCAGATGCCTCCAACCATCTGGGGAGAGAGACCAGCCATTGTGGGGCAGCTGTGGTCCCTGTTTTTGTCCTACCTGGTGTTAGAGTTTCCATGTGGAATATCTCCCAAAGGCTCATGAGTTGCAGGCTTGGCCCCAGGTGTTGGTCCTACTGGAAGTTGTAAAGCCTTAGCAGGTGGGCCTAGTTGGAAGAGGCCTTCCTTGAGGGGAACATCTTGTCCCAGGCTCCTGGCTCTCTCCTTCTGTGCCACCTGGCCACCACATAGCCACCATGAAGTGAAGAGTGTCTCTCTGTCATGTGCTGGCCATCATTATTTTCTGCCCTATCACTAGCCCACAGCAATGGGGCCAAGGGACCCTGGGATGAAGTTGGTGAAACTTGAGCCAATGTAAATCTTTCCTCCTGAGTGTTTTACTTTAGGTGCTTTGTTAAAGTAGTGAAAGCTGACTATGACACTTAGTGTTTCCTGTCCAGCCCCCCAAGGACTGTGTGTGTTGGTGTGTTGAGTCTGTGATTTATGGCCTCTGCTCACCCTGCCCTCCCTTGGCTATTCCCCTTTATAAGATGGTCATTCCCCTGTGCATTTGGAGTAAGGGATGGTCAAAACCATTCCCCTTTCACCAATCAGTTGCTGGAGGGGTCAGGAAAAGAGAAAACAGGAAGTTGGTGTTTCAATAGGAAACGAAGTTGAAGCATGTACAGTTAGTTACTGGTTTGGAGGATCTTTCTGTTGTTTCTGCCCCTTCTGTGGGGTCAGCAGTGGGGGTGGTGAGTGGTTGGCCCCTTGGGTCTGGGAAACCTGCCCCCCAGCAGGAGCTGTCCAGGTAACTCTCCCTCCAGGGCAGATGGTTCAGTGTTGTCTGCTGCTCTCACCTGCAGCCTCTGCTGTAGGGTGAAAGCTAGTTCTGGTTCTCTGTGGGGAAAAATAGTTGCCTACTGCCACCCCTGTCCAGCACAGGTGGTGAACTAAGGTCACTCGTGTGAATTTGGGGTGATGCAAAATAAAACACAGACCCAAAATACCTTTACACAAGCTTCAGGACAACTTTCCCAGATCCCAGCCTCAAGTTCCTCAAAAGGAGAGCAAGAGAAAGTCACAGAGGCTGGCGAGAGAGAGGGCAAGCACGTTCAGAAGTGGGCTTTTATTCGGGGGGATGCTGTTTTTTAGAAAGTTCTATCCAAAAAAGGCAGAAGGGGTAGGATTACAAGGGAGCAGGTGAGTGTAACTCAATCCCAGCGGCACACCTACACCTGAAACCATGCCTTGCTATCTGAGCTGGGACAGTGTGAAAGTCACTAAGAAATGTAGTAATTGGTCAGAGCCCCCTGTGTCAGGGCTTGAAGGTGTGTTCATTCAGAGCGGCTTTCCACAGCCTGCAATTTCACTGGAACATTTGCAGAAAAGAGTGAAGGCTAGGTGTTCATATTTCCAAATTTCTTCTCTAAATATTCATACCCAATAAAAATATTTCCATTTTCAGTACATCTTTTTTTTTCTTTTAGAAATAGTGAGGATTTACCCAGGGGTGCTCTACCATGGAGCTACACCTCTAGGGTTCTGGCCTGTGTGAGTCCCTGCTAGGGCTGGGAGAAAGAAGGTGAGGCAGTCTCAGGAAGCAGGAGCTCTTGGGGATCAGCTGATTTCCTGGGGCAGATGGGCCAGGTAGGCCCTAGGAGGGTAAAGTACAGATTAGGGACCTGAGTAAGTGTTGGGGGTCAGGGATTCTGCATCTGCTCTGTGTGTGAGCTGCTTCAGGTCAAGTGAGCAGCAGACCAGGGGGCAGGCATGTTTTTCTGGCTGTGCCTGCTGGTGCCCCTGGGCTTCCTGGTGGGCTTTCCAGTTAGGAGATGCTGGCTCAGGGCTGAGAGGAAAGGATGCTGAGCTGCAGCTGGAGCAGACCCTGCTGGATGAGCACCTGCCCCTGCAGCAGAGGAGGCCTGGATATTAAGGGGGTAAAGGCCTGTGTGTGAACCCTGAGCCCAGGATTGGCAGAAGGAACTGCCTTCTCTGGCAGGTCCCTATTCTATCAGGAATAGTTGGGCAGAGGAGCAGGCACTGGGCTTCACTTTGGGATCTTGTCCCTTACTTCTTTGGTCTTTCATTCCCTTGAGGGATGCATGGTGGAAACTGAGGCAGGTGATGCTGCTGATGGATTTAGGAGAGGAGGCTGGTGAGGAAAACTAGTGGGGGCATTTTCTTTTTTCACTCAAACTCTGAATCTGATTTTGGAGAGTCTGAGAAGAGAGAGGTCCTGAGGAATAAATGTCATATTCTGCAGTCAATTGAACACTGACTTTTCCCTTCTCCCATAGCTCAGGAGCTCACAAATCCTGAATCATCAGCAGATGGTGAAGAGGAACCATAACAGCACCTTGCAGCTTGTGTCAAGCTTCCAGGGTGATGCTGAGGAGCACATCTGCCCTGAAGAGTTGGAGCCCTAGTGTGATGAACTGGAGAATCACACTGATGGACAGGACAAGATTGGAACTTTGAGGTGTCCTTATGCTGAGCAATAGGGGTCAGTTGGCCTGGGGGAAAAAAGTGACTGGCATGTGCTTATGGCCTGAGATATTGAGAGTAAGCGACCCAGAATGTGTGTGAATCAGACACCAGCATCTTCCACCATCAGTCCAGCTGAAGCATGCAGAGTGGTGGGGAAGAAGATACTCCATTTTGAAGAATATGACTTTTTATTCTTAGGGACATTTCTCTTCTCAGATTCTCCAAAATCAGATTCAGAGTCTCTGTGAGAGAAGAATCACCATACCAGCTATTTGGAAGGCTAGGGCAGGAAGATCACAATTTTTAAGCTAAGCTGGGCAAGTAGTGTAATTCTGTCTCAAAAACCCAGGGAGAGGGCTGGGCTTGTAGCTCAGTGGTAGCATGCTTGCCTAGCATGCGAGAGGCACTGGGTTCGATCCTCTGCAACATATAAAAATAAAGACAATAAAGTCCATCAACAACTAAAAAATATTAAAAAATAAAGAAAAAGAAAACAATGAGAGGCAGTGGGCTGGAGATATAATCAGTGAGAGCATCCCTGGGCTCTATCCCCAGGAGCAAACATGCAAGCACACACACAACTAAATTAGTACCAGGATTCATGTTTCTATTGTAGCAACTCTAAGTTAACCATTGAAATGATTTTTTGGGGTGGTACTGGGTACTGGGAATTCAACTTAGGGATGCTTTACCACTGAGCAACATCTGTAGTCTTTTTGTTTTGAGACAGGGTCTCCTTAAGATGTTGAGGTTGACTTTGAACTTGCAGTCCTTCTGC